TGACATGGAATGATGACAAAATATCAGTCCACCTTAAGTGAGAGTGTACTTTTGTATTTCAATTAATGTTCAATTTGCTCTTCGAAATATTCGAGGTAGAGTATATTTACTATCTTGAATCAAATAAAACCGAAGATGGTTCATATCTTATTCTATATAATCCTATTCAGTCGAGCACAATGAAGACGTTGATATGAAGTAGCTTCTCTACAGGACTGGATACTGCAATAGACGATGTTGTCTTAATACAATTCTATACCGTGAAGTCCATCTTCCCAAAAATGGCATCAAAGATTATGCATATTCCTTCTGGAAATGCTCATCTCATCCATTCATGCAGTGGCAAAATCCAACCCGGTTTTAGTAATTTATTTCACGCCTCTCAGCGAAGAATTTGCCACTTACGAATTGCTCAGGAAGCAAAGCAAGCCAGACTGCAGTATCAGCTCCTTCTTCAGGGCTAGTATGCCCAGCCCAACCTGTCATGGCTGTCTTCACCCAGCCTGGACAGTAGCAGTTGATATAAATCTTCTGACCCTCCGGCCGACCTGAAAGTACCCTACTCATCAGCCTGGTGTAAGTGTTGACGGCCAGTTTTGACAATGAATAATCGGTGAACACTTGAGGCCATCCACCAGATGTCCAACTTCCATCATTCACTTGTTCTAAAAATGTTGCAACAGTCTGATCGATCAATTCTTCTGATAATGAGCCATCATCTTCGAGTTGTTGTCTCAAAGAAAGATTCCCAATTCTCTGCAAAATCAGACGAACATTGATCATTCTCAAGTTTGCGTACAAAGAAATTCCAAATACTATTAGACTTCTAAAGATTCAAATCCCAGAAAATATGAAATTATGCGAGAACGGAGATGTCTTTGTCCAATTTATGAAATATGAAACATAGTCTTACATTCCGCCTGCCATTTAGCCTTCCTAGTCGCGAGCTCACATTAACAATACGAGCACCAGAAGCAGAAGGTCTCATCAAAGGAATCAGAGCTTTGATCATATTTTTTGTGCCGTAGTAGTTGGTATCAAAAACTTTTTCAGCAAATTCTACAGAATTATCCGAGCCAGCATTGAAGTTAACTCCTGCGTTGTTTACCTAGAAGTTGGCAAATAATCAGTGAGAATTGCCAATCATCAACCCAAATGATTAAACAAAACATATGATAACTCTCGCAGCTATATCACATTTAAAACTTGGAACTTTCGCCGGAGAATCTCTTAGAACAAAGAAATGAATCAGGTCCTATCGGACCTCAACTAAAAGTTGATCAAACGTACCCAATTGCAGAAACTATACTTTCCGAAAAACAAACACAAAAAAAGGGACATTTCATCACGAAACAAAAGGGAAACTTTTCCTTCTCTCTCATTTTTCAGAAGCAATTCAAAGGTTTAAATTCACTTTTCATTTGGAATTAGTTTGATTAGCAACCAAATCAACGATTTGTAAAAGCAAAGCTGAATAATTAGAGGTTACTTTACCAGTATATCTACACTACCAAAAGTTTGTTTTACCCAATCAGCAAATAATTTGATCGAGGAAGAATCCACCACATCCAACTGATGGAACACCACATTAAGACCTCCTTCTTGCAAGACTTTTGCAGCTTCTTCACCAACTTTTGTCTCCCTTGATGTGAGAATAACTGTCAACCCATGCAATGAGAATTGGCGTGCAATCTCAAATCCAATTCCTCTGTTTGCCCCCGTCACCACGGCTATGGTATCGGAAGACCACCATCTGGAAAAAAAATAATAATAATAAATAAATAAAAATTTACAATAATTTAGCTTAAAGTTAAATTCTTCGGAGTCAACCTTGACCAACTAACTGATCTTTGCTCCATCCTGATGTAATACAAACTTGCAAAATCGCTAAGGAAATAAGAATAGCAATGAGGAAAATGTATTCTCCTACCGAAGTTTGTAGTTT